ATGTTCTAATTATATATCAACCTTATTCAAAATTGCAAATTACATGTCCACAATGAATAAAATACAGCCAATTTCAAGTCATATCTAGGCAAAAATTGAAACTGTATTGAGCCACTGGAGCAGCTCTTCAATTGATCCAGCATCTCATGGTATCTTTAAATAYGGATAAATACAATTTAATCAGCCAGTCCTATTGATTACCTCCAAGATAACCTAMGAATTTGTACAGAAAACATGTAAGTATAAAAGAAAGTCATGCAGAAAGTAGCATACCATAATAATCAGCAAGTTAGCCAGAGAGGGTGAAACCCTAGTTCCACCAGAATTAATGCAAAATTCCCATCAATTCAAATAGGATCACAATCCTCCATTTTAAAACTCATGACAAATCAAGTCTTATGGTAGTAGAGGTAACCTATCCCTGGACAAAAGGAGAGACAAGCAGAAGTAATAGTTCCAGAAACAAAAGTTCAGATGTTAAAATTATACATTAGCAATTACTACCTGAATGRAMTGGACTGAGGAGAAGCAGCAAAATWAATTCTGCTCCCTAACACCAAACCAACAGAACCCCACAATTCAGACTTTCTGCCTTGCTGCATTTCATCTTTACCATGTTGGGCAGATGGRTCCTAGACAGGAACTTCTGGGCTGGTGAAGAGAATCCCAAACTGCAGCTCCCCTCAGCAAACTGGGGACAAGTGTTGAGCAATTGTTAAGTGCCCCAAGAACACTTGTTTCTTCTGAAAGGCTTCAACCATCTCAATCACTCTGCTTGGCTTTGCTCCAGAGGAAGCTGAAGCCCATTGCTAAACTCACTTTCTGAGGCCAGGCCGTTTRCAGACAGAAAGCAGATGCACCAGCCCTTGGCTATTGCCAAGCTATGGGTACAGAACTTCTCAGAGAGTGGAATCGCAGAATCCTACAACGGCTTGGGTTGGAAAGGACCATAAAGATATCTAGTCCCAATGCCCCTGATGTGGGCAGGGACACCTTTCACTAGACCAGGATGCTCAGAGCYCCATCCAACCTGGACTTGAACACATCCATGGATGGGCATCCACAGCTTCTCTGGGCAACCTGTTCCAGTGTCTCATCACTCCCACAGTAATGAACTTCTTCCACATAAATAACCTAATTCCCCTCTTTCACCCATTAACCCTTTTCCTGTCACTGCAGTTCCTGATGAAAGGTCTCTCTCTGGCTTCCTTGCAGGCCCCCTTCAGATACTGGTGGGCTCCCATGAAGTGTCCACACAACCTTCTCCTCTCCAGGTCGAACAGTCCCAGTTTTCTCAGCCTGTCTTCATGGGGAATGTGTTCTAGGCCTCTCACCAACTTCATGGCCCTCCTCTGGACTCGGTCCAACAGTCTATGTCTTTCCTGGACTGGGAAAGGACCCCAGGGCTGGATGCAGCACWGCAGGTGGGGTCTCACRAGAGTGGAGCAAAGGCASAATCCCCTCCCCCAACCTGCTGGCCATGCTTTTTCTGCAGCCCAGGGTTCAGGTGACTTTCTGAGCTGCAAGCTCACATAGAGTTTTTCTTCAATCAGTATCCCCTCCAGTCCTCCTCCACAGGGCTGCTCTCATTACTTCTCTGCCCAACCCTTAGATGTGCCTAAGTATATTTAACTAATTCTGTATCCCTAAAGTCCTCTCTGGATACCTAGRGAAGGAAGTTTCCATGTCTGAAAGCCTGGCCAGCACTCTGTGATTCTAGCTAAGCAGAAGAGCTAAACAGTAGCTCTAATAAAATAGAAAATTCATTAAYAAATACTTTTTCTTCAATAAAAAAATCCTGTGTTACCCTTATTTTTCCATGATTACTGTCTTTAAATTTTTCTGTGGCAGCTATCACAATAAGAAAAGAGAGGTTTGGATGAAAAAAGAAACTCAAATTTTGTACCATCTGTTAAATGACTTCCAGTCTGAGGGAACAGATGCTGGACTTCACTATCAGTTTTTGATTGATCTAGAAGTATTTTGTTAATAGRGGCTAAAACTACAGCTAAGATGTGTCAGAGAAAATAGGAAAGAATCACTCAAATTCTCCTCAAACTATCTGGTCACTCAGAAAAGGTTTTGTTATTTTTGTCATGATTATACAGCCTTAAAAAAAATCTTCCTTTGAATAAATGGGACAACATCTAAGAAACAGAACACATGCTTTGCTTGATTTCTTAAATACTGTGGACAGCTCAAATGGTTCATCAGGTTACACCAGTTCACCTGAATGGGATAAAAAATGTTCATTTCTTGTATTACTGCATGTTTGCTGCTCTATTTGGTGCATTACTCATTGTACAGCTGAACTGCACTTTCCAGGAGGTGAATCAGCACTGTCTTCAGAGAATCCCACGGTAGTCATCTCTCAAGAATCTGATGAAGCACTGGGGTATCAGTGCACACCGTGTAAGGCAGCACATGGGTATTTCCACACAGCCAAACGGTGAGTTCCATGTGTGCCAAACAGCAAAATGCCAGAAGTGCCAAAACAGCTCAGCTAATTAGGAAAGTCAATTACAAAATAATTGCTAAGATGATTGTGGTGTAAGTGAGACTTAATTTTCACTACATGCACTGAAGAATGTTTCATCTACCAACTGCTCTGAGTTTTCTAACTTGCATGTGACTACAAGGAAACAATCTAAAGTGAAAAAAAAATGCTGGTTTGTGGTAAAGAAAATTCGGTATTAGCTTTACATTTTCAGCAGCAATGTACAGAACAAATGATTTTTTTTCTAAATACTGCTTTCTCACTTCAGTAAGAGACTATAGCTCCCTTCAAAATGCAGTGTTCAGTTGTTAGTGCCATGTTTTTTCTTTTGTCAGATATCGATTTTTCTGCATGTTTTAGAACAATCTGTACCTAATTTACCTATGTTATTTAATCTTTCTGTGTTTCCCAGAAAATTATGCCTAAGCATATTTCAACATGATTGATGATGAGMGTTCCAGAAATGGTACTGTTGCAAAAATAAGAGCTGGTGTAACGTATTTTGCTGTAACAGATTTTTGCTTTCACAAAAAAAGCCCAAAAAAACCCCCCAAAAAACAGGCAACATCAAACCACAGCTTTCAACTTTCTGGGGCTCCCTGCCACCCCACTACAAATGATATATTGAAAAAAGTCCTTCTCCCCCGCTACTACCGGACCAGCTTRACTTTCATCCCTAGAGCTGACAGAGCGATGCTCTGTATTTTAGCACTCAGAATTCCTTTAGGCCTAGAGGATTCCTGTGTACTGATGCAAGTCAGTGAAGCATGGTGAGGTTTTAACCTTCAAGTATCACTGTAATGGCATAAAATGCACTTGTCACCACTAAAATTACATTTAAAAACCCATCTCAACAAAATGCTGTCTTTCTCTTCTTGATGGTTTATAAAGCACTCAAAACACACCCTGAAACAAAATAGATTTCCCTTTTTTTTCCACCTTTTTTGCCATTTTCATGGTTATAAAATACCAGAGGTTGGCATTACATACTGACATACTAACTCTATACATTTCTAAACTTTGTCAAGAGTTGCATTGTTAACCAAGAATTCTTTGTACTCTCATTTATCAGACTAAGTCAGTATTTCATTAACATGTAAATGCAGCAAATTTCATGAAATACCTCGCAGCTCAAACACGTCTGACAAATGACACRGAACTTTGACAAAGTTCAGCCCCCTGTAACATCATAATGTACTTGGAGAGTCACTAGGACTTTTAAAATTGCAGCACTTAGCAAGTAACACAAGCCAYTGTAAAATAAGGTGCATGAAAAATATTTAGATGCACATGCATTTGACCATGCAGAAAGAGACAATGAACAGCCAACTAAAATCCTGTGCTGGCCTTCAGAATTCATGTTASGCTGAGACCCACAGAACATCATTTACATGCAAGTCAATGACTTTGTATTTACTTCCTTTATTCACAGGAGCTTAACTGGAAGTTTGGTCTTAAATACACCTTCAGCTGAAAGGTTCCCATCTCCAGTATGTGTCACTGAACYCCAGTTCTCTCCCCCTGCTCCCTAATGGGCCAGTACAGCCATTTGGGGCACCTTGCTATGAACTAGTTGTGATCTAGGCTGCAACATCCCTTCCACCCCAACAAAGAGACTCAGGGTTTCWGAGTGTTGCTTTGAAACAAACCAGTGATAGATTGTTTTGCACAGCTGCGGACAGGGAGTGAGCTGCAACGTTGTATAGAGAAGCTAAAGGGGAAAATGCGCAAATGTCACAAGCACCATCATTGAAGCCAGCATTCATGTGGCCTAAAGCAAGGCAGAATAGACCCACCAGACCTGTCCAGGCAAACACTAAAAAATAGCTCTATTCTGCTTGAGACAGCTGACATTCAGAGATTCTAAAGAATTTAATCGTTTTATAAGTAATGTAGGAACGCCTTCCCCACACACAAAGCTTCAGGTCTCATAACTGGAAAGTAAACATGTGGTTCAAGTGTAGCCAAGACAACATCACTTTTAGAAGATTAAAGACAGCCTGCAAAAAAGTATGATTAAGAGTTACTGCATCGACACTAAATGTGGCTTTGCAATAATACTCAGTAATAACTATACTGAAAACAAATAGGGAAAAATCAGGTTGTTAAACAGAAAAGTGAGATAAAGAAAAGACCACGCAGGATAGYAGCAAGATACCAAAGATGACAGAACACTAGAAAAAAAGGGAAGTGAAAAGAAGCAACGGTAAAACTGGACAACATGACACTGAACAAATGAACAGTTGCTGAAAGTTCAGATCAAATGCCAATGCTTTATGACACCATTGAGCTTATGTAAATCTCTTAGTAAAAAAAACCCAACAAACTGTTAATTGAATCAACTAAAATAACTTTTTCCAGAGGAAATTCTCTGCTTTACAGAAAATGAGTATGATGCATTTTGCTCTAAACCAAAATACCCAAATAGTTTATAAAACTATTATATATCGACAGGTAAAAAAAGTTTTGGTCTTAAGAAAAAGATGAGTCATATGACACCTACTGCCACAACATGCTTGAGACTGTGGTCACTGGGGTGAGAAGCAYTTGGGAAATCAGCAGGTGCACCCAAAGCTGGATCACTGCTCCTCCGTACCAGAAGTGGTGTGCCTGTGAGACAAAAGAGAATTGAAAGGTTCAAGGATGCTAAATTAACACAAGGGAAAGTTTCACATGGTTAAACAAGAGAAGTGTACAGCACTTAAAATATAAGTTTATCTGTGGTAATATCTACCTGTTTTGATAGGGTTGTACCATTTCAGATTTACTAAGGTAAAGAAATCAAGCACACTTATAKAGACCTCCATCCATCAACTGCTAAATTATGTAAAAACTGCTGACAAACAGAAGAAAAAGGCACCTCCTCAGATAAACACACTTAACTTGTATGGAAGGYTGCTTTAATTTGACATGTTGTATCTAACATGCCTTGGGCTGGTTCTGCAGAAACACCCKAAATATGGGTATAAAGAGAGGAGGGGACGGAAATTTAATTCACAGATGATGTGTCTCCCAGTACTGACTGCCAGGATTGCCAGGGAATACAGGCAATAACAGTTGTTTAAGAAAAGCTGAGGGCTAAACAGGTTCCACTTGTAGACACCTTCAATCACCCATGGAAGCATGGCTATTCAGTGCTTTCTGGGTGTAACCTCAAAGACCAGTCAGCAGCCTCCAGCAACACAACTGTCCAGTTAACAGAGGTCACTAAAAAATGCCCTTTGCAAGACTTCCATGTGGGCTGAGAGGGAAAATGTCTTTAGGAATATRATAATTTTTCACATTATCCAAAATAAAATTAAACTTAAGCAAAAATCACTTTCCCCCCATCAYTCCTTTCCAAAGTAATTAATCCATAGACAAAAACAAAACCAAAAGAAGAGAGAACAGACTAGAACACTGGTCTAAGATAACTTTTTTTCAAATGTTTCAAGCAAGTGAAACTGAGATTATAGCTGTCAGTTATAATACTAATTACAGTGGCTGAGGCTGATGGCAGCCATAATTACTAGATCTATAAAAGAAGTTTGAATGTGCAAGTTTTCTCATTAGACACTAACAAAGCYGTACTGACTCTACCACATTCACTTTCAGCACAACTTTGCCAATATAGCAGAATAAATACCAGCACCCGTTGTTGAGGAACAACCAGAGAACCTAATGCTCTTAATCTTTCCTCATAGTGAGCAAGTTTTTTTTATGCAGGTAATCCCTTCTATGTTCACTTCTGCAGGAAATCAGTAAGAAAAGCAAAAGTGACTTAAATCCGTATTTTGGTATTAAGGGAACGCTTGCATATCAGAAGGAGAACGCTGTTTCTTGTGCCAAGTGATTATAATCTTTGTACCAAGAACTATACCTGTTTTAACAAGGAGGTTGTGAAGAAAGAGATTGATCACCAAACTTATCCATTTTGTGTGATTTTCCAAATGTGTCAAAAGGTCAATCTTTGACCTCCACTCAAATATTCTGGTTCCTCACATGAAGCTGAAGAGAAATTTATTTCCCCTCTAGACATATTTGATAAGAAGGTGCATAAAAGCTAAATCCAAGTTACTCCCTTCTTCAAGATAAATACTTATTCCTTAAAATAAAATTTTCCATGCATAACTGAAGTTTCTGGTGGCCCATATCCAACTTTTTGTCTCTCTTCAATGTAACAGTTTGAAAACAGATGCCGAGACATTTTTGTGTGATTCAACACAATTTAGTCTCCAACTCCTTCTGACATAAACATGAACAGTACAAAGAAAMGACTGAAAACCCTTTGCACTGGTACTTTTATTTGTAAAAGTTGCACAACTCAATGAGCATATTGCTCCTTACACTCTTCCAGTATCATCCCAGCCCCTTTCCTCATTTCTGTCCTCCTTTCTCCACAGTGAGAAATGCAYACTAACTCAAAGAGGGTACAAAAGATTCCCCACAGTCAACTAAACAGGTCAAAGATGGGAAGGCAGGGGGATGAGTGATGCCACTCAAAGAGATCAAGCTCATCCTCCTTAGGAAAATTCTCAGGATTTATATCAAGCTCATCCTCCTTACAAAGCAAACACACTGAAATTAGATTTCTCCTTTTTTTCCTGAGCTGTCTTCTACAACCAACTCTTCATTTCTCTCTCATTCCTCYGGCTGAGAGAAAGATGAAGGCTGGAAAGCAAGACCCCTGTTTGTTCCAGGGCCTTCCAGCAGCTCCAGGAGGTGAAAGATGTCTCCTGCACCATACCACTTCAGCACTTCTGTCTGCTCTTAGTACTGATTGTTTCAAGATGCTTCTTTTTACTACATTACCCATCCTCAATTCTGAAGATTTCCTTTGACTTGCTTTTTGCTATGTTTTCCAGAGAACCTGAAGCAAAATTTACAGCTGTCTAAACTTAAGTTTCAAAGTCTGCAGAAGCAGCAGGATTATAGAGAATACTGATTTCCAGATTGGGAAGATGGCCTTGCAGTTATTTTCATTCTTTTTATTCCTTCAAATTTTTGTTTATTGCCATGAGGCAAAGAAATTTATAGTGCTCATTTGGGATGCTTCCCTACTTGCAGAAGAACAACTGGACATTTTGGCTATTGTAYACAATGGTTTCTCATTTCTCCCAGTATGTTGTAAATTTTAATTTTTTTTTTTTCTTGAAGAGAAAACCAGACCCTATTTTCTTCATTTTTTAAAGTGTATTTACAGACATCTAACGTAATTTCTTGTACAGAAATATCACACATCATAAAATCTCTGTGAAACAAGTCAGCTGTAGTCTTAAGCTAAAATTATACAAAACAGTCCCTCTGGCCCTTATTGTTTTACACGTGCACACCACAAAAACACAAAATGAACCTTTTATGAGACAAAGATAAACAGAACAAWATGTGCTTTCTGATAGGAGAAAACACACAGCCAACACGACAACTGGATGAAAGAGCTGAGAAGAATCTGCACTGCCCCTCCTTTGCAGGCAAGAGTGCCTTATTCCCTTTCTTAAGACAGCAATTCTCAGCAGCTCCCTGAGCTAACAAACYCCGCTCCATGTCCTCTCCTCTCTGTGGTTTGGGCTGTTCCCTGCCACAAGAACACATTCCATGCCACTCAGTGCATTCCAGCCTGTGCCTCTGCCACAGGCTCCTTTATTTTTTCCAGCCTTTCCCTGCCTCCTCTGCACTGCACACTCAGGTCTCTCRAAAGCAAGCACGCTCCCTTGTATTCCCAGAGAATTCTCCCCAYATCCAACCACCCCAGACTCAACCTGACTCTGGAGCTGGACCACATCCATTACACACACATACCTTGYATTTGTTCATCCCCATCTTCTTCAGCCATGAATAAAATGTACCAAAAAACCATCACCGATACTATTTATTACAGATGTACTGTAGAAAATTACGCACGTTTTCTTAAGAGATTCTGTCATCTGTTTTCTTCTGTCAGGAGACTGAATATTTTTTTTTTCCTTACAGCTTTCCTTTAGTCATGCTGCATTTCCATATTATTCTACTCACGCTCTTGCATTCCTGCCGAACATTTATAACAAGCAGTGTAAGCTCAAGCACAAAATCCATCTTTTCCTGAACGATGAGAGAGAAACTCCTTCCTGCATACCAAACTGATCATAGAAACACATTTTTTAATAAGCACTATTATTTTGTGCCCAAGTAGTACTTTGTATTTTAAACTTAGGAACTCATTTTAAAAAAAACAGTTATCCTCATCTTGAAGCACTGCATCAGGAGTTTGCAGACAACAAAAATCAAAACACATGTCCAAGACTAAATATTAATCACTTCAGGGTGTACTTCCTCGTCCTTAAAAATCTGCACTGAGTACCTTTACTTATGGTGCCATAGCAACATCTAAGCACATGTGCCTGCCTCATTCACAATACACACTCTTAGACAAAACTGATAAACTCCTGCAGTTTTCCTTCCTTAAAGTTTATTACATATTTTCAACTAATGTGGATCAATCTTTTCTTTTTGCTAGCAATACCCTCAAAAATTAGTATCTACATAGATTCATGGTTAACAGYGTATTTTCCCTGAACTCTTATGTTTTGGAAATACTTTTTTTAACTGCAAATATGGTTGAAACAAGCATATGGTAGAAACCAYACTTAGATTTAAATTGGTTGCATTAGGGAAGAAAAAAACAAACCAGAAGAGAGCCATTTGTGTACAATTAAAAACTGAAAACTTCCATCAAGGCAATGGCAAAAGGAACATCTCCATATCCGACGTAATCTGATTGTCTTAGCTTGTTTTGCTAGTTTTTAAATTTCACCAAAAAGCTGTACCCAGACAACAACCCATAACATGAACAGGAGTGTGCTCTGCTTCACTGTAACCCTTTGCCAGTTCAAAAATCGGCTTCTGAGGCTAGGAGGGGCCTGACTAACAAAACGTGAACGAGTGTTCAAGAATACTGTGCAACTGCAGGTAAATAATGCAAGGTCTGCAGCTCAGGATCTGAACATGGTCTGGGAGCTCTGGAGCTCCAGCTGCCCCTGCTGGAGTCCCCCATAGCTCTGCAGGGTTTCCAGGCTCTGAGTTCTGGCATCAGACTTCAGGCCTACATTTAGACAGTTGAGTACCACTCAAGATGACCACCAGTATCACAAAAAAAGATTATTCCTACCCTTCCTTAATTTCATTCATTTGCTCTAATGTCTCTTTGCTCAAGAAAGCACAGCCCTCCTCCAGCCTGAAATCCCTTTATTCTTTGAAATTTAGGTTGTAGGTTGCCAAAAATTCTAAAGACAACCAGACTTTTATCACCCATGAGAATTTTTGGCAGGCTGGGCTATCTATAATGCAGTCAAATTATGTACTAAAAGTGATTTTAGCATTGCTTTGGGTGCAAGCACTCTCAGGTAACTTTTAGGTAAGCTGACAAACCAAGCAACAAARGAAACACAAGCACATATGTACTGTTGTGCTACTGCACCACTGACAACTAACATACTGTGAGGTTGGTTGGTGGGTTCATTTGCTTTTCTGGGTAACAGGGAAGAATTACTCTAGAGGAGAAGTAAAAATATACTTGGACAGAATACTGTAAGTGAGTAGAAAGAGATCTACAATAAATCACCTACGCAGTTAAAGTCATAATTTAAAATTCTGCT